ATGGTGATCATTTTTCAATACATACACATATTAAATCATTACATTGTACACCTGAAAATGTTATATCAGTTAAACTTCAATTTAAAAAATAATTAAAAAGAAAGAAGTGGCTAAGACAGTAAATTTTATATGTGTGTATTTTACCACAGTTTTTAAAATTGGGAGGGAAAAAGGTTTATCCAAAAAAAAAAAAAAAAAAGGCAAAGTAATGATGTGACTTTGGGTAGCAGGTACCGCCCTTGGACTCTGATCCCTGCTTTAATTCTGCATCTTCAAAGGCCATAGTTGGCTTGGTCAAAATTACAACATTCTGGTAATGAGGAAGAAACCACTTTACAGTTTATGTCCAATTTGATCACTTTCAGTTTCCCTCTAAAGTTACCTAAAGGAAGTTACCTTCCTTCCTTCTGCATTCATTGCGTAGATACTTATGGAGCACCTACTATGTGCAGGGCATGGTTCAAAGCTGATGTTCAGCATCCAAATACCAAAATAGTTGCATTATCAGTTGCTAAGTAGCTGTGGCCTGCAGCATTCCATGCCCCTCCACGCTGGCCATCTCATCTCTTCCCTGGGACACCCCCGTCCCTGGACTTCCCCATGACTCAGCATAACAGGAAGGCTCCATGGTGGCGAGCTTCCAATTCAACTGGTGAATGCCTGGGCCTAACCCCTTGTTAAGTGTTTTATCACCTCCCAGACACAGCAACGAACAGAACAGACAGGGTTCCTACCCTCTAGTCTAGAAAAGAAATAATACATAACTACTAAATACAAAAATGAATCAGATCATTTCAAAGAGTAGAGTGCTGTAAAGAAAACAAAATGACAAGGGACTAGAGGGTGACTGGGCTGAGGGGGGGCAGAGCAAAACTTGAGAGGAAGTCTCTCTGAGGAAGTGACATTACAAGGAATCAGGAATGCAAAGGTCTCAGGTAAAAACACTCCAGGGAGAACAGAAATGTCAAGGCCTTCTGGTGGGAATAAGCTTGAGATTCTCATGGTTAGAAGGCCAGTGTGACAGGGGCATCCTGAGCAAGGAGAACACAGAGGTAGACAGGGCCAGATCAGGGAGGATCTTACTGGCATTGGTAAGGAGGTTGAATTCAATGCCAAGAACAGTGAGCAAGCACTAGACAAATTTGAAACAGGGCCATGAATGATCTAATTTATATTTTTAAAAGATCACTCTGACAATTGTGTAGCAACTCTGATTAAACAAAAGCAAGAGTGAAAAAGGAAACAAGTGTACGATGCTCCGGTGGTAACCCAGGTGGACAGCCACAGTGGCTGGAGCTATTGGACAACAAGAGATGGAAAGAAGTATTCTGACTCAATATATGTTTTAGAGGCAGAGCTGACCACACCTACTGACAAGTCTAATGTGGGATGGCGAAACAGGAAGAATGAAAATGACTGCTATCCTTGTTTGTTTCAGCAAGCCACTGATGGTGGTCCACTTACTAAACAGGCAATGACTGTGGCAATAAACAGGTTCAAGGAGAGAAGGAATAAAAGCCTGTATTGTCACAATAAGTATGAGATACCATTTAGATTATATAATGTGGAGATACAAACATGTAGTTGGATGTTTGACCTTAATAACAGGAAGTTTTCCCCAGAAAATTATGGCTTATCCAAACAGCAACATTTAATACATGTATAACTTCAAATGCAAATGACTGACTCTCTTCTTACAAAACTTGTGCCAACAACTAAGTGCATGTATACAACATGAAGTAAGACACACAATTCTCTTTAAGGAAAGAATACAATTCTTGGCTTTCATTTTTATTAAGTATTATGTCAAAAAGCCTCCTGGGGAATGCATTTCCAAAATTGGAAAAAAAAATCAATTTGGAAATGAATAATACAAGAATAATTACTTTACATCGCTTCTCCAGACTGTAACGAGCGTGTAAGGCAAGCTCGTGCTGCCCTCAGCACTTCTTCAACCCTGCTGAGACTGCTTTCCCATCATTTGGTTGCATTAAAGTGGTGGAAACTTCTGTACTAGATGTATTTTATCCCAAGCTCAATGTGTCTATTGTGACCTAACTTCGTTTTAAAACTCTAGAGGTGTCATGATGAAATTAAGGATGAAACCAGAAACGGAAAGGACAAGCATTAAGAAGGAAAGAAGAGAGGGGAGGCAAGAGGGCAGGGAAGGAGGGAAGGAGAGGCGAGAGCAGCAGATGACCTCTTCCTGACGGCAATGCCTCATGACCGAGGACTCCCGGAGAGGATGCTCATGCGACATCACAAAACCCCTCAGGAAAGACACGCCTGGTAAATGGCTGGAATCCAGAGGTTATTACCAGCTCTCCATATTCTAAATAGTGTCAATTATCAGTTTCAGATGAGTAATAATTAGTGCAAAGCGAAAACTAAGCACTTCAGCTTACCAGCGCTTCGCCGAACCTTCCTGCCAACAGCCAGCATTTCGTGGATGCTTTTCAAATACAAGCAACAGTCTGGCTGGCACTACAAATAATCCTCGTATCCTCCGGATTGGAAGGAAACTTAGAGGTCATTATATCCAACCCTATCGTTTTACAGATAAGGAAACTAAATAAAGCAAAGAGAGATAAAGTGGCTTACCCACCATCCCAGAGCCACTTCGGGATGAAAAAATGTTTTTCTGATTCTTAGTCATGATCCTTGATCATGATCATACCATGCTGCTTACAGAGTGAGAAAGACAAGTGCCACCAGGGATGGCCCCAGGCTTTACCAGAGCTACATCAGAGGGGGAAAAGACAGGCAGAGCTGGATATTTCAGGCCTGGAAACAAGGCCCCAGCCTGCAGGGAGGCTGTCCACCTGCCACCATGCTCAGCCCACACCCTACAACAGCTGACAGTCTTTCCAATGCCACCCCTGGGCTTTTTCTCCCAGAGCTATTGGTTTTATGTGGCAGACTAGGATGTACAGTCAAGATCTTCAGAGGAAGACCCTTGAAAGGTCACCTGCTGCTGAAGAACAGCGCTGCTCACAGGCCCGGTGTGGGCCCCCGCAGATGGTCCCCGGAGCTGGCTGGTGGGGCGGGTGGCCAACGGGCACACTGCGACCACATACACAGCCCAGGATGGCCTCGAGGGCCTGCCCCCTGTGCCCTGGGGCTTGGATTTGTGGGGCTGCTGGACTGGAGGCTCTGGAGACCAGGACAGCCCTCCCCGAGGGTCGGGAGGAGGGCGGATGATCTGTCTCCAGCCCCCCCAATGCCTCCCCTCCCCTCCCCTCCTCCTCCCCTACCCCACTTCTCCTACCCTACCCCCACTGTTCTCCTACCCTCCCCCCCCCCCTCGGGCACCTGGACAGAACTCAGGAGGGTGGGCAGCAGGTCGACGCTGAAGCCCGCCAGAGCCACCTCCAGGCTGAAAGGTGTCCAATAAAACTTGAACGAAGCCACACACACACACACACAAAAAAAAAAAAAAAAAAAAAAAAGCAGTGTGCTGCCAAGCCTCAGAGCAGCATAGACCCTCCCCAAGGACGACGAGAAATGACACCTCTCCCCCCTCCGCCTTCAGACCAGCATATTCCTAAGTAGATCCCACACGTCCCTAAAAAGCTATTAGAGGTTACAAATGAGTTTGAGTCCTGATGGCTTCTGCCTTCCAAGTTTTTGCCCAATCCCAGTATATACAGAAAATTCTAAAAATAGTCACACCAAAACTCTGTACCACATTCACCTGGAACTCACACTTACGTCTTAGTACTTACAGAGAACAAAAGTTCCAATCAAGATTATTTTAGGAAAGTCTTGTCCATTATTAGGAAGTTGTAATATATGCAGCATTTATATTTGGTTTGCCTACTGCAAACACATGTATACATTAATAAATGGGTTGATAAAAAAATAATAATAACCCTCCCTCCATGCAATCTATGATTTCCTCTTTTGCAAAAAAGAAACACCTCAACAGTCTTTAAAAGTCTTACACTAGGGGCACCTGGGTGGCTCAATGGTTGAGCATCTGCCTTTGGCTCAGGGTATGATCCTGGAGTCCTGGGATGGAATCCCACATCAAGCTCCCCACAGGGAGCCTACTACTCCCTCTGCTTATGTCTCTGCCTTTCTCTCTGTGTCTCTCATAAATAAATAAATATAAACTTAAAAAAAAAATCTTCCACTACTGGGGCACCTGGGTGGTTCAGTGGGTTAAGTATCCATCTCTTGATTTTGGCTCAGGTCATAATCATAGGGTTGTGGGGCTGGGCCTAGCATGGAACCTGCTTAAGATTCTCTCTCTCCCCATCCCTCTGCCCTCCTTTCACCCCTCTCTCTTGAAAAAAAAATGAATCTTCCCCTATAGAGGTGACCTGGTGGCTCAGTCCATTATGTGTCCAACTCTTGATCTCAGCTTAAGTCTTGATCTCAGGGTTGTAAATTCAAGCTCCATGCTGGGCATGGAACCTACTAAACAACTAAATAAATAAAAATAAAAATATTCCACTATGTATCTTTTCTCTAGAAATATTCTTTCTGGATAGTCTCTTTAAAAAAAACATCTATACAGGGATGCCTGGGTGGCTCAGCAGTTAAGCATCTGTCTACCTTCAGCTCAGGGCATGATCCCAAAGTCCCAGGATTGAGTCCCACAATGGGCTCCCTGCATGGAACCTGCTTCTCCCTCTGCCTATGCCTCTGCCTCTGTGTGTGTCTCTCATGAATAAATGAGTAAAATCTTTTAAAAATATATATAAATAAAAAATAAATAAATAAATAAATAAATAAATAAATAAATAAATAAACAAACAAACACCCCTACAACTGTGGAATCCAAGCTACCCATTGCAGTTCTAAGATTCTCTCATAACCTGGGGGCTAAACAGCCGATGGATAGTAGTTCACACTTTCAGTCCCACATCCATTCCCAGGGTGCTAGGAATTTTCCCAGTGTCTCAAATCCCCTAAAAGAGTGGCCTGGATTTTATTTGACAGTGTTAGTACTCCATTGGCCTGATTATAGAAAATAATCATGAAAAAGTACTTACGGCATAAGCACCTATCAAAAATGCTGCATTTGCCCTTTTCCGTTGATCAAAACAGGTGTAGTGCACTATTTTCTTTCTTGATAAACTGTATGACTAAAAAGAGGGAATAAAAAGAGTGTAACCATAGAGACAATGCTAAAACATGCAGAAGATAAACATCATCAACTTCCAAGATGCGTCACAATCAGTGGAATCTACCAACTTTCATTTCTACAGCATTTGTTCATGAGCTTGTGAAGGGTGGAGGGTTCCTTTTCGCAGCCCAATCATGATGCAGATTTGACAAGAGAACAAATATTTCTCTCCAAGAAGGGAAACATACAATGGGAAATAGTTAAATTATTGCCATCTTTATTAGTGGGAACATTTACTCTAAATCTTTTATGTAAAGTCTATTCATTTTTTTTCTTTTTAATTTTTATTATAAAGTATAGTTGACATACGATGTTTTATTAGTTTCAGGTGTACAACATAGTGATTCCACAATACTATAGATTAGTCATTGTTCACCATGGTAAGTATAGTCACCATACAACATTATTACAACTTCATTGATTATGTTTCCTATGCTATACTTTTCATCTCCGTGACTTATTTTATAACTGAAAGTCTGCACCTCTTTATCCACTTCATCTATTTCACTCATCCTCCCACATCCCTCCTCTCTGGCAGTCACCAGTTTATTCTCTGTATTTGTAAGTCTGAGGGGTTTTTGTTATTTGTTTGTTCATTTGTTTTGTTTTTTAGATTCCACATGTAAGTGAAATCATATGGTATTTGTCTTTCTCTAACTTATTTTACTTAGCACAATACTTAAGTTTATCCATGTTGACACAAATGGCAAGTCCTTTTTTAAAGACTGAGTAATAATTTATCCTTGCTCTTTCCTTATGCTATATCCACTCCCAGAATAGTTATCTGTACTTTTGATATTTTAGTTTATTTTTAAGTGTGTCAATCAATCTATTTTCCTCAGAGCACTTATACTAATATTAACAGAGCATCAATACTTAATATTTTCTTTCTAGAATGTTCTATTAAAAAAATCCCTTTCACTTATCTGAAAATAAATAGTTAATGGGAAAAGATGAACCATCAAAAGGGCAGAAACAGCAAACATCTTAATACAATAACCATATATTACATTCATGGATTCCAACAGTTATTAAGCACCTGCTATATGCCATGCAATATGCTGCATGCTCAAGTATTAACTAAATCCAAAAATTAGCAACTTGGTATGCTGTATACATGCTGAACATGAAAAAAAAATACATAAGTAAAAAGATCTGCTAAGATGAAATCAAAGTATCAAACTCAAATATACATAAAACAATGAGAACACTGATGCAACTATATGAAATCTGCTCAACTTCCTCATATTTCAAAAGTTACAGCATTTTGACAAATGTTTTTCAAAATACAGAAACATAGCTACCTTTTAACATTTGTCTATAAATTCAAACAGACTGTAAAAGTAGTTTTTATGCCTTACACATTGAGACCACAACCCACAGGACACCTGATTTTATAGCACGTTTACAAATGTAAGAAACCTCAACTACCTACCCTTCTTTATTAACTCTATTTTCTACAAGGAAAAGAAACTCTTTCAACTCTGATGGCTATTCTACATGAAACTGCAACACTCTGGCTTTAATGTAACCACAGAAAAGTAGCTATAGGTATTCCAGCAATGAACCTGGAAACTCTCACCATCCCTTTAGGCATTTCTTTCCTAAGCAAGAATCACATATTCTGGAGTGCCTGGGTAGCTCAGTTGGTTAAGCATCTGTCTTCAGCTTGGTCATGATCCCAAGGTCCTGGGATAGAGCCCCAATATCAGGCTCCTTGCTCAGCATGAGAGTCTGCTTCTTCTTCTCCCTCTCCTTCTGCCCCTCTCCCCACCCCCACTCCTGCTCTCTTTTTCTCTCTCAAATAGATCTTTATTTTTCTTCAAGATTTATTTATTTATACATGAGAGACACAGAGAGAGAGGCAGAGAGACAGGGAGAGGGAGAAACAGGCTCCTCACAGGGAGCCCGATATGGGATTCGATTCCGGATCCTGGGATCACGCCCTTAGTCAAAGGCAGATGCTCAACAGCTGAGCCACCCAGGTGTCCCTAAATAAAATATTAATTTAAAAAAAAATCACGTGTTCTGAAAATGGCATTGCTCTCTTAAACTGAACTTTGTTTTTTAAAGATTTTATTTATTCATGAGAGACACAGAGGCAGAGACACAGGCAGAGGGAGAAGCAGGCTCCATGCAGGGAGCCCGACATGGGACTCAATCCGGGGTCCCCAGGATCACACCCTGGGCTGAAGGTGGTGCTAAACCGTTGGGCCACCGGGGCTGCCCTAAACTGAACTTAAAGAGTTTGCCTCAAAGTGGGTCTCATTACCAAAGTCCTTATTTCCAGACTGGCTTATGAAAATGTCCCTATGAAATAAAGCTTTAAAAATACATTTTATTCTGTCTGGAAAGCTCCTGGGTAGCTCAGCAGTTGAGCTGCTGCCTTCGGTTTAGGGCATGGTCCAAGTCCTGGGATCAAGTCCCACATCAGGCTCCCTGCAGGGAGCCTGATTCTCCCTCTGCCTATGTCTCTGCCTCTCTCTGTGAAGGATAAATAAATAAAATCTTTAAAAAAAATACATTTTATTCAATTCAGTTCAGTCAATGCACTAAAGTTATCTAAAGACTTCAGGATCACTATCAATGGTACTGACAACTGTCTCCTTTTTTTCTCAATTTGTTGTTTGTTTTTTTAAGATTGATTGATTGATTTTTGAGAGAAAGAGCACACAAGCACAGGTGGGAGGGAGAAAAGAAGAGAGGCAGACTCCCCACTGAGCATGGAGCCCCCTGTGGGGCTCCACCTCATGACCCTGAGATGCTCAGTGGAGAACTCGCTTGAGATTCTCTTCCTCTGCCCCTCCCCTGCTCATTCCCTTTCTCTAATAAATAAATAAATAAGTCTTAAAAAAAAAATAGAGTCGGACGTAAAACTGACTAAGCCAACCAGACGCCCCAGCTTCTTCAATTTGAAACCATTGTCTCCTAGACATTTCCTTTTGTTATTTTATTATTTGTTTGTTGGTCTGTCTGTTAGTTTATTTTTGTCACTTATTGTTCTCCATCAATAAGTTAGGCTTGATTTACTGAAAGGAGAGTCAAGGCCTTTAAAGCCTAAGCATATTTTGTGGTATAAGACTGCCTTACACAGGCCAGCCCCCACAAACATGAGTCATGCTGAGCATAAGGACCCAGCTCTTCTGGCTCCCAGCCTCTCAATAATTACATTTCCCTGCTCTCTAAAACACCTATGGAGAAGAAAAGAATCCACAACTGATTCAGAAGTTTGGATTGTCTGTTTTGATGCCCTTTTCCACTAAGAATTTAGATTTCACAACAAACTGTTGCTATCATTTAATGATGTGGAATTAAATTTATTTTATAAATCCATTGGGACAAACTCATAATGCTGTGCTTTTGTCACCAAGAGTCTTTTGGGTTGTTTCCAAACATTTTGCATTTGCTTGGTTTTTGTTTTTCTTACTCTTAAAGTATATGGAGGGGATCCCTGGGTGGCTCAGTGGTTTGGCACCTGCCTTTGGCCCAGGGCGTGATCCTGGAGCCCCCGGATCGAGTCCCGCATCGGACTTCCTGCGTGGAGCCTGCTTCTCCCTTTGCCTGTATCTGTGCCTCTCTCTCTCTCTCTCTCTCTATCTCTATCTCTCTCTGTGTGTCTATCATGAATAAATAAATAAAATCTTTAAAAAATATATTTAAAAAAATAAAGTATATGGAATATTCTTTAGTATATGTTGCAGAGACCATCCTGCAACAGAAACTGTGAAGCTACAGGATGAAATTCTAAAGGAAACTTTCTTTTCACTATAAATCTATAAATTTGGGGGAATCCCAGGGTGGCTCAGCGGTTGGTTTAACACCGCCTTCAGCCCAGGGCCTGATCCTGGAGACCCAGGATCGAGTCCCATGTCAAGCTCCCTGTGTGGAGCCTGCTTCTCTCTCTGCCTGTGTCTCTGCCTCTCTCTCTCTCTGTCTCTCATGAATAAATAAAACCTTTTAAAAATAAATAAATTTTAAGTAAATATAGTACAAATTAAACTTTTAAGGACTTTAGACGAATTTTTAAACCTTACAAGCTTTCAGAATGACATCAGATAAAGAATATTCTCACAAAATACACCTACAAATCTTAACTATTTTAGAATATTAGAAGCTGCCTAAAGGATAGAAACAATTTTTTTTAACATTCATCACCATATATAATTATAAAATCTTTTTCTTGTGACGAGAACCTTTAAGCAACTTTCTCTTAGCAACTTTCAGATATACAATATAGTATTATTAACTATGACCATAATGCTGTACATTATAATAACTGGCTTTTTAACTACAGCTTTCTGATTTTTAGGAAATTTTTAAGCTCCTAGTATTTACCTCACTTAGATGTTTTGGGACTTCAATTGTTTTTCTCAATTACATCTCAAAAAACATTACAGTAAAGCAACGATCTGCTTAGTGAAGCTTGGCCAATGTCTCCCAGGTCAGAACACACAGGTTAAGTTCTCACTCAAGTAATCAACACTAATTCACAATAAACGATAATAGAGAAAAATCTTATGTCTCACTGGCCTTTGTCCTAATTTCCTTCCTGGCCACAGCCAAGCTTCCCTCTTACAGATCATCTTGCCCCAGTCTTATACCAGCAATGCTTTTGGAACATAGCAGATATTCTGATACTGGAATGAAAACTTTCAAGGAGGGGCACCTGGGTGGCTCAGTGGTTGAGCAGCTGCCTTTGGCTCAAGTAGTGATCCCAGGGTCCTGGGATCAAGTCCTGCATCAGGCTCCCTGCAGGGTGCCTGCTTTTCCCTCTGCCTATGTCTCTGCCTCTCTCTGTGTGTCTTTCATGAATAAATAAATAAAATCTCAAAAAAAAAAAAAAATCCCAAGGATGGGGTGTGTGGCTGGCTCAGCTGGTAAAGCATGAAACTCTCGATCTCAGGATTGTGAGTTTAAACCCCACGTTGGGTGTAGAGATTACTTACAAATAAAAAAAAA